AGTTTATGTTACTGTTATTAGCAAAGTATAGGTTACTGTTGTTAGTGATGTTAAGGTTACTTTACCCATTATAAATTAGTGAAGTGATTGAATTAATCTTTAAATTCCTCCAACTTGATGCATTTATGAAATACATTTGAAAATATCATTGGAGTCTCTGACAAAGTTTCTGCCAAATAGAATTGAATATTTTTTGTACACTGTTACGTCTCGAACCATTACTCAAACAAAACAAAACAAAACATGGCACAGACTCCATGTAGATCTTTTAGTTTTCATTGAAATCTTAAAGTTTATTGAGTCCAAGGAAACTATTGTCTAGTTCTTTTCTTTCAGTCTACTGAAACTTTATGTTTCTGTGAAGAGAAGGAAGCTGCTGAAAAATATTTCCCAGAATTTCAAAAAATTGATGGATGGTAACAACTTTTGTCTTCTTTCACTTATTAAAAGTAATGAGTTGGCAGAGTTTAAGTCACTGATTAACATGCATGAATAGATTAACCTAGGGATACACATAGGACATAACATTTTTTTCTTTTTTGAAGTAATGTATTTTATAAGATAAGATATTGGTAAATGTCTTAATGAAATTTTTTTTATACAAATATTTTAATGTGATGTTTTTTTTTCAGCGTAACCCAGATTGAATTCTGCATGGTTGATGCGACACACAGGTTGTCTGTTTTAGGTAATCAGAATGGCTTGGTGACTCTAACCATTGTCAACATGTTAACTAAAGGTAACTGTTGACTTATAACAATCTGCTTCATATTTGGTGCACACTGTCTGATTGTCCTGATCCAAGCTTTAAATATGTGACTAATTTAATGATTTAAGGCATTTTTTTAAAAAATAAATGTTTAACTTTTTTAAAGTCTGATGAATTTATTGAATATTATTGAATAAAATTAAGATTGTTTATTTAAAGCTATTAAATTTTATAAAGAAAAAATTTCAAAGCTTGAGTTAATGTACAAAAAAAAACACAAACGTATTTAAATTTATGTGACATGAACTGTCCTCCAACTCTTGGTCTATTATTCTGTGAATCGTTTCATGCCATAAAAATTTTTATGTCCCCAACACTGGTCTTCTCATTGAAGTTTAATCAAAGCAAAAAAAAAATGTGAAATTAAAAATGTCAACAATAGACTTAGAACTAATCTTTTCCTTTAAGGTTTCAACATTGAGTTGCACAGATACTTTATTCTGACTGAGAAAGTTTTTTTTTTTCTCTAAATCAACAACACTTGTAAGGTGCCTCTGTGCTGTGCCTTGTGCAGATGAGTCTAAACAGAGGTAACACTCAAAGAAGCAAACTGATTGACACAGGCGAAAGACCAACAATATAAAGGGTAGTTGAGCCTGTTAACTTTTTCTTTTTGCTACATTTCCTAAAATGCTAGTCTTATTTTTAATAGTCATGTCACAGTCTCTAAGCTAAAAATTCCCTTTCTATGAAACAAATAACTTTTGGCCCTAAATTCCAAAGCGTGCCATAACGAGTTTAATGTGCAATGAGTAAAATTCTCTTTGTTTTTATTTTATAAGCTTCTGACATTCTTTCAGAAATGAAGATATTTATGCCTTGGTCCTGGAGGATAATGAGATTGATGTGGATCATTGTCACAACAGTCCACAGCACTTACCACACGAACAGGCATTCACTGTTATTATCATAAAATGCATTTATAAAAAATTTATTTTAAGAATCAATTCATTTTATCACCTTATGTTTTCAGAGATTAAAAACATTTGGCACTTTGAAATGGACAGTCTCATAACTAGTTTACTTGTATTTAACCAGCATACTAAAGAAAGATGTCCAGATTTTTTAGAAACACAAGGTAATAATTAAAGAGTACATTTCATTCATTTTGAATAGCTTACAGCAATAAGAAGAAAAAGATATTCTTAAAAGTAACTTTGTGCTTTTTATCTGTTTTGAAGGATCATCAACACATGAAAGCATGCTGACATGATTGTTTTATTTTTATTTTATTTGTTTAGAAGAAGATGAAAAGCCTGTGGAAAAAGAAATAGAGCCTGAACCACTCAATCTTTTGATAACATCAGCTATAGACTTGGCTATTGTTTTCTGGTAACTTCATAGACTTTCTTTTTTTTTTTTTTTTTTTTTTTTTGTTATTAAAAATAGTTAACGAGGTTTACATTATTTATATTAATCATAATTATAAATTGTTAAGTTTGATGCTTATATTAACTCTGACCTTCTTTAAACACATGCATTTTTAATAGGGAGATAGCTCATGCCTTTTCCAACTTGTCAAACCAGTTAGTTGCTGGTTGAGTACAGGCATAAAGAATTTGAAAGAGTTTCTTTTTCATCCTCTAAGTGATGGAGGCAGCAATAATTAAAGTTTGGCTTAATCCATAGCAATAATGAAATAAGACATCCTACACTGGTTTATGATAACTTGTTGAAGCTTGGATTGTGTCAAAACACAGAGGTTTACACAGAGGTTTAGTCAATGCATGTGCATTCAAACAACTTTTCTTTTTTAAACCTGGTCTTCATCCAGGTGTTGTCATAGTTACCACATAGCTTGAAGATTGTCATTAGACTTCAGTAGTAGATCAGACAGTTTTTCTTTACAAATTCCAGTGATAGTAGACCAGTTTCTCTTTTATGTTTCAGTGATGTTGTCAACTTAGGTTTGACAAACAGCTACCTTCTGCCACTTAGTAATACTCAAGATGCTGTTTTGTGTTCCTGTGTTGCTGACATAGATTTTGATGGTGAGAATGAAATATTGATAGGAACTTATGGCCAGGTGAGTGCAGGCAGAACATATTTTAAAATAAATACATTTTGGTTATTATCCTTTTGTCTCTTATAAATATCCATGTGTAAATCTAGCTGTGCATGAGACTTGAAGGACCACCTGAAACTGTCAAGTCTTTAAATAAAAAACAAACTGTTTGGGCACTGATTGAAATTTAGTCTTGATAAAGACTTCGAGACATTATAAGTAAATAACTTTTCACTGGCATATAAGAGTCTGGGGTCATCAGGTTCAAATGTTACTTACATTGTCACTCAGATATTTTTCAAATTTGCAATAGAGATCAAAATATTATCAATTATGCATAATCAGTAGGGTATAACTTAGTAATATAAAATCATTATGTCACAATTTCAGGTTGTACTGGCCTATAAATTTATGCAAGAAAAGCCAGTGACGCTAATGACATCTACACCCTTTCATTCCCCTTTTCCAGTTCCTGTTAGTGACAAGTTTCACTCAAGTGAGGGTGATGAGAATATCAATTATGACCAGGTATGAGACATAAATCTCCATTGTTTTATCAACTAAATTAACGCTAGGTTTTGTTATAGGTATTAGATGATAGAATTTAGATTGCTTTGTCTTTGTTTATCTTGTTTTAAATACTGTGTTCACTATTTTTGTATTTACTTTGCCCAACTTTTGAAGGAGAAATTTGATTCAAGGCGGCGACACAAGTCTATGGCAGCAGTTTTTGATAACATTGATGGTAGTAGATTTGATGATTGGAACAGAGCTGAGGACACTGGTAACTTGGACAGAAGTCTAAAGGACGCTCAGATAGCTCGCTTAGTAAGGTAAGTCCTTTTCTATTTGACTTGGAGCATCTTTATGTATACTACTAGAAATCTTCCTGTTTGCATCATCAATAGCTGTTTACCAGGTATTTTCAAATGTAGGCAGATAGCTAGCACATTAGCCTGGTTACAATAGTCCAGTGTGCATACTGCTAAAAATTAACGTATTAACTTTAGGTACAAAATTTCAGTTTCACTTGAAAGGTTTTGTTTTTTTATGGAGAGTATTTATTTAATTCGTTAATAGATCTCGAGAAAAACTGGCCTCTCCAAAGTCAGTCAATTTGAACACTCCGGAACAGCTTAGTCTAAAGAGAAGTTTTTAATATATGTATATAGTATAAAAAAAATTATTTGGACCTTTTAGCTTTAAAGAATCTCAAATGTTCCAGAAAACATTTCAACCAAGCCAATTTCTTCAACTAGACTTGATCTTTTCACTTCTATTTTAAGCCATCATTTTTTTTTTTTTATAAATGTTTTAGATGTTCCTTCAGAGTTGAAGATAATTTACTTCCTAGTCCAGAACTCCCGTAGACGGGGGATGGAAGCGGGCAGGGTATGAACCTGGAACCATCAATAAGTTCAAACAACAGTCAAGTGTGCTAACTGCAAAAAAATTAACTTTAGGTACAACATTTCAGTTTCACTTGATAGGTTTTGTTTTTTTATGGAGTATTCTTTTAATTTATTAATAGATCTCAAGAAAATCTGGCCACTTCAAAGTCAGTCAATTTGAACACTCCAGAACAGCTTAGTCTTACAAACACTACTGCATGTGACTTGAATGAATATTACCCTGGTTACAGGTACAGTTGAACTTTAACCTTCCAACTTTTGTTACCTTGGGCAGATATTGACAGTCATTGCAAAGATGTATTGACCTATTTATTTCCTAACCAGGTTGATATGGACCAAATGTTTCTCGGATCCAGTAATGAGTTTGGCAGTTGCTGATGTTATGCGTGATGGCATGTTAGATCTTGTTGTTTTAACATTAAAAGGTCTTCATATCTTGCAGGTAAATATATTGTATTAAAAAAAATAATTTATCTTTGTCTTTAGAAAGACTTGTTTCTCTAGAAGATATATAGTGTTGAAAGTTATGGATGCTGTAGCTGTCACTCTTGATACACTAAATCTGAATTTTCTTGTCTTGGACAGCCAGACTTAAATGACATAGCCACATTGGTGATGGACAGATTAAAACTGCTCTGTGAATCAGAGAGTGAAGCTGATGATGATTTTCATCAACTACAGATGGAACTTTTACAAGATCAACAATTGCAATAAAATTTGTTGCACTGGTTATCTACTGGCTATTCTGTATTATTAGATGTTCATTTTATGTTGTTAATGTTATGTTTGTGAATAAACAAAGAAAATATGTATGTTTTGTTTATTTCATTTTTATTGCAATTTTTCATTTTAAGTAATGTACACTAGATAAAATCATCATAAGTCATACACATGTTTCTTCAATCACATTATTACATGAACCAGATTAACATCTAAGTGTAGCAAATGTATTAAATAGAAAGGTTAACAATTTAGTGAAGTTTATTTTTTAATCTTCTGCAGCAGCACACAATTGTTTTTTAAATATCCATTAATTCCCCCGGCCAAACAAAAAACATTTCCTTCTTTTTCATTAAGCTGCAACTAAAAATGTTTTGTTAGGTTCAGCTCAGAGTCATACACTTTATAATTGTATTAACAAATGATTGTAAACTCTATATAAATTATAAACAGGTACAATTAACTTTTGGTAAATGAATAAAGAACACATTAATAATGTAAGACCAATAGTAGTCCAAAAATAGTCTAATGTGAACATATACTTTTAGAGTTTCACATTGTTGATATTAACACTTTTATTGGTACACAAATTAAAAAGTTAAACAAGAGCTTTTTTGCAACACAAAATTTTAAAATAAAATGAGTACATCTACATTGCACCTGATTTGATTGCAAACTTTTGGACAAAAGTTGAAGAGACACCCAGATATCCCAGTTTCCATTTGTGCTGTTATATTTGACTAAAGGATGAGAATAAAGTGTTCCTGGGGCTTTGAATTTTACATGTTTCAAATGCACTTTCAGAAATGAAGATGTCTTCCTGCAGCAATTGCAGGGTAAGATTTTAACTGGGAATCATATTCAAAGCCCAAACCATATGACCAAGCAGCCATCTTAACTCTGCCATTAACTATACATATTCATGAAGAATCATATACACTGAAAAAGAATTTAGAAAATTATTCTTATAACAGAAAGGCTGTTATGCAAATCTTTGTCCATATTAACTTATATCATCTCCTCTGCAAAATTGAAAGAAGCTACATAAAATTATTGTGAAATACGATGCTTACGATTCTACCCAAGCCTTCTGCTTCTGTTATGGTTTAAGGTTTGTCTTGCTTCGTTATCAATGTATTCAAACTTGAAAACAAAATAGACAGCATGGTCAATACAAAAATATTTCTTCAAAGAGACCTTCAGAGTAGAAAACTGTGTTGACTAGCAAATGTTACTTTTCAATTCCAAATCAATCAAAGTTGTATTTGTGAACAATTCTGCATGTAGATCTTCTAGAAAATAAGATCTTTTAAACAACTTGAAAACAAATATTTGCAGACAAGTTCTAACCATCTCTTAAGGAATGCTTCAATAAATAGAGAAGTTCAAAAAAGGTAGAACAAAACTATTTTTCTTGAGAACAGAATTTGATTGAACAACATTTAAATTAATTTCTTTTAATAACACAAAACTAGAAGTATTATCATTAAGTCTTTGAGATTAAGATTAATGTTTGAAGTAACATAAATTATAAATGAATATTACATGAGCTTTCATTTGAAAACTATCATACTCAAATTTAAGTAGATATTTATTTGTTGTATCTTGGACACTTAGCATAATCTTCTTGTAATATGAGAAAATGATAACATTTTTTAATTTATAAAAAAAAAGTTAATGTGAAATCAAAAAGAAATGAATGAAAAAACATGTTGATATAAACCAATTTGGTCAGCACAACAGTAAGTCTGACAAATCCCACTGAGCTAGACACAAATGAGAAGGCAATTATGATCTGCCTTTAGCACCAACTGAATAAACCTAGTACATTGAATATAACTATGCATAGCACATAATTTATTTGTATATAAATATATTTGCTTTAGTATTTTGACTGTAGCTATTAATTCTTATAATAAATAATAGACTAATGAAATAAATATATGTAGGATACTATTAATAGATGTTTGTAATTAGTAATTGGTTAACCAGTACATACATATTATATGGGTTAGTGATGCCTAAACATACTAGTCATGGTGGAATTGAAAAATAATTTTTTGTTTTGATGCTTTGTAACTGTGTTTAAAACATGAGAATTCTAACATGCCCATAGATAACACTCATTGACTGATCACAGTGAAGACAAGTCATTGGAATCAAATAAAACATTATGAACATAAAAATGACTATTCAGCCAAATATCTTTTTTTACCAATTGTATCAGAAAGGAGTATGATATATCCCATTACATGCCAAGTAACACTAAGTCAAACATTGACTCTGATGACAGTCCAAAAGTAATTTGTTTTTAATTTTCATCAACCACAACTAACTTCATCAGCCCAGAGGAAAAAAAAAAGAGGAGGGATGGGGCTCCACAATGTAAAATCACAATTTGCTAAACACAAACAGGAATGCCCTTGTGGTGCCACACTTTCAGTGCAGTGAACACCAGCTGGGGTGAGGCTGTAAACATTGCTGGAGACCAATTTCTATGGAGACATGTGTGCCTAACAATCCAAGTCTCTAAGTCTACCTTTAATAGACTCAATTTATGAGAGGAATGGAAATTGAAGTTAAGATTAACTTTTAAAAACATTGATATGGGAATGCAGACTTTGCTTGGTACACATAAGAAAACTAATACTGTTGTACAGTGTTTACAAAATGTATAAACTGGAACATCAGCTGTTTGTCAGTGTAAGAAGTTGTTATAAATTGTTATACATCAAAATACAGTCAAGAAAATAGAAATGAAAAAAAAAAAAGAAAAAGACTAGATTTGTAAAAACAAAACCGTGTAGAAAGTATATCAAGTAATGCAAACAATACAAGAATTATTTGTGTTGGAATTCTGCTGATCACATTGTAGAAACTGTTGATATAGAAACATTTGATTCCTTGTTGTGAATCATACCAAATCATCTGGGATGTTTATAACAAAACCTGGTACCGGGTACCAAATAAAATTGGGATGAAATATGCTTCTTTAAGAAACTACAATGATTGCTTGGCTTTTTTCTAATCAAAACAATGACTTTGCGATCTTATTTACACTGATTCCCTGTAAACAAAACAATACAATACCATACAGACTAAATAGCATTTAAGTACCAGAGACAATAAAGTACAAAGTACATAGGGTTTGTACATTTTATTGTGAGTTTAGCTTGCATAAAAGCTCTTGCTAAATGTATAATGTATTCAAAACATAGGCTGATTGTAAACTAGATTAAACAATGGAAAAAAAAAAAAAGAAACAGTTTAACACAAATGACAACTTTGTATAGTTGTTAAACAGCTAATGGTCAATAAAAGAAATACAAGGCACACACTTTCTAATTTTAAATAATGTAATACTATCAAACTACTCAGTCACAAAGATAGGTTTTTTTTTTTAACTGGCTGTTACAGACTGATAGCCATCAGTGTTAGGCAGGGCCATTTAAAATGTACAAGTCAGGAGAATAACAAAAAACTGTACTGATATTCTCCTGCTTATCTTGCCTTAGTTCAAAATGAACAAACTAAATAGCAGCAATAGTTCTACTAAAACCACAAATAACATTTCCAAACTCTTAGTATCAAAAGCACTCTCTATCAGCCCTATGTATATGTTGAAGCTATGTTACAATTGCAATGAATTAAACAAGTTTAAATCTCAGACCTATAAATACTGTTGACTGTACTGACACACTCCAGCAGCATTACTAGCATGCACACCAAGAGTTCAATCATCAGGCTTGAAATGCCTCATTGGAGTAGAGAGCTGGGGATGTCAGAGGATAGAGGAGCACAGTCCAGAGGACAAGGCCTAAAACAAACATGGCTATCAACCTATATCTTGTTGATGCTGGGTAGCCCATGACTTCACCAAATGAAGGGAATCCCATGTGGTTACAAAAGGCATGTGCAATAACTGGAGCAGCAAGATGACCTGTTGATCACAAAAATAAAGTATTGCAATAAGTGGACTAACTTGTTTGTTAAATGACTTCCGTTTGACCAGAAAATGAACTGACTTCAACAACTGACCAGAAACTTAATTAACTTCATCAACTCTTGCTAAACTCTTGATCTCTCCTAGGACCTTACTTCCAGTCCTACCTAACTCATGGTCACTAGTTACACTTTCACACTCTGTATTCACAACATTCAACAAAGTGCAAATGAGGTACAATAAATGAACTATTTTATCTGTGATAGACGCACTTTAGGCGAGGCAAACGATTTTGAATGCGACAAAAATGGGGTCAAAAATCGAAATTGAGACTGTCACTTCGAGATAGCTTAGTGGTGAGAGAGGCTTTTATAATGTGAACATCTTTGATAGTGACAATGAGTTAGCTGTTCATGTTCTGTATTTAAGTATCACAATTCTTATGAAGAAGTTGACTCAGTTATTACATGTTTATTTAACTTTGTATGTATCTTGGTTGTCTGTTATAAAATCTCAAGCTCATTGCAAATAGTAATTCACTCCCACACAAAGACTCATGCAAGATTTCTGATCATCAAGCAACATAACAGTCATACCAAGATATATTACTCTGATGCTGCCAGTTGATTGATGGTTCTCAATGGAGTGCAATGGAAAAGGGATAGAGTGAATTTTTTATGAGATTGAGATATTTATTTGGGACAGTGTACTTGGCAATCATTTCTGGATTGATAGCAAACCCAAGAAAGACTTAAAAATTATCATTTTTTTTCATTTTTGTTGTTTATTTTTACTTTTTTGAAGTATCTCATCATATTCTGCATGTAATCAACTGAATTGTTTCGTTGAAAAGTAAATTATTAGGCACATTATCATCAGTTGAGTTTTTTAAAAAAGGGTAAAAATGAAAAGGAAGCCTGCTTAATATAACATACACATTTGTATGAACAAAGAGCAAAAAAGAGCACAATATAAATGGCATAGTAATGTGTCCTACAAGACTGATGAAGTCAGCAAAATGTTTTTGTAACACATATGCTAGGTATTGTTCAAATTCTAACTGGATATTTAAAAATAGTACAATTTCGACAAAAAATGTCTACAGTTCTCATCCCACTTTTATTTTATTATTTAATTTCTAGAACCATTTTGTCATTTACTCTAGACTAGAATTTGTAGAAGGGGGGAACCGTGGCTGATTGGCTAAGTGCTTGGCTTCTGAACCTGAGGTCCTGGGTTCAATTCTCGGTGAAAACTGGGATTTTGAATTTCAAAATTTTTAGGGCGCCCATGAGTCCACCCAACTGTAATGGCTGCCTGACTTTGTAGAGGAAAAGTAAAGGCGGCTGGTCATTGCTGTCTACATGACACCCTGTTCATTAACCAATGGCCAAAGAAACAGATGATCTTAACATCCTCTGCCCTATAGGTCATAAGGTCTTGAAAGGGGAACTTTACCTCCTTTACGTAGAATTTGTAGGAGATGGTGGAAATCTAAATGATCTCTGAACAAAGATTAATTGCTAGGTCTATAACTAGTATACAAACAAAAATTTAAGCTTAAATTGAAGACTGAAATCCAACATATGTTAAAACAAGTACCAATGAAACAGGAAAACTCTTTATCTCAACCTGATTGGATGTTTGTGTGTTTACAAATATAAAATGTGAGAGGTATAAACCAAGGCCACACCTTCTCCCAGATACCCCCACCTACACATAAGAGACTGGACC